CGGGCAGCGCCGCTGGCTGCTCCCACTGCTGCGTCCCACCATGGCGGGGGCTGCCGGGGACCGGGCCGCCCTCCCGGAGCTCCCAAGCAGAGAGCAAGGACGAGGAGAGTGTGGGGGGCAGTGCGGGCCGGACGCAGGGAGTGTTTCGGAGAGGCCCTACCGTGAAGCTGGGGTTGCTGGGCTGGATGCGCAGCTCTGCCAGCACCCAGATGCCGTTGGTGAGCTTCAGCGACTGGTAGAGCATGTCCTGGCCCTCCACGTTCCTCTTGGCGATGGTGAAGATGTTGCTGCCCTGGAGCTTGCTGCTGGCGGCGTCTGTGCGGGCAGAGACGTGGCTGCCCTTCAGAGTGGGGCAGCCCACGGGGGCTGGATGCTGCACAAGCAGCATCTCACCCTGGCAGGCAGGGGACAACCTGGCACCGTCCCAGCACACCTCAACTCAGAGGCCTTAAGGGCAAAGAGGAGCAAGAACTCAAGTGCCAAACAGGAGCGAGCTCCTTGGCTCTGCCTGCTGCCACCTCTGCACACACAGCCCTGGACCTTCCTGCCCCAAGTCCTGAGCTGGGGTGACTGTGAGTCTCATTTTGACCATGGTCCTGGTGGCTCAACAGCCCCGGGTGACGCTCTGCTGCCCCTGAGGACACGGAGCACACACGGAGCCTCTCCACCTCCGTCCACACAGGGCGCTTCATGGTGCTCACAGCCTTGGCTGGGATAACTCGGATAACCCCTTGGTCACCCAGGGCAGCCCAAAGCCCCCGGACAAGCTGAGCTGGGCCCTTCCAAAGGGGCCGAACGCACCTGCATTGAGGGAACAGTCCTTGATCTGGAACTGGGCCTCGTTCTCGTTGGGAATGTCCTTCCACGTGGCCAGGAACATCTGCCGCTCTGCGGGAAGGGAAGGGAGCAGCGCAGTGAGAGCCAAAGCAGTCCCGAGCATGGGGCAAACGCAGAGGCCCGTGTCCCCATGCAGCCGGGAAAGGGAGGGCTCCACTCTCCTTGCCCTCTCCTCCAGCAGCCTCCCAGGATCAGCCTCACTCAGCGTTAGGAAACTGCCTGCTCTGCTGGCTTAGCAAGCTGAATTCGCTTCAAGAGGAAGCGCCAAAGGAAGCAACATAAGAGTGAAATGAGGGGACTTGGTGGCAACGAGCTCTTAGAAAGTGGCTCAGGGCACCTTCAGGTGGCCACAGGGCTGCCTGCACCAACCCAGCCTGCTCCGGCATCCTGGCGGGATCAGGCTCTCTCAGGCAGGGAAGGCAGCTGGGAGGCCGCGGAGGCCGCGAAGGCACCTAGTGACGGGTGGCTAAAGTGCAGGACTCTGCGGCTGCTCCCACGTCCCCACTCACCCATCTTCCCGTCCTCCACGAAGAGGATGTGTAGCGGATACAGCGTGCTGAAGTAGAACACGTCAATGTTGTTTTTCACGGCGACCTAGGAGACCCAAACACCAGGACGTCAGCGCTTTCTCGCGCACGGGGCGGGCGGGCGATGCCCAGGCAAACGTTCCTGTCCTCCCGCAAAACCCCCATCCCCGTGGAGCTGGGCGTCTGCAACACGTCAACAAGGAGCTTCCGCTGCGGACAGAGCACTTCGCAGCAGAGCTCGATATCAAATTCACAGCCGACAGGAAAGGCAGGACGATGAGCTGAGCACTTTCTCCTGCTGGCTTCCTGCTGTCACGAATCCTCCCAGCTCCCCTTCGTTTGCTTTCCTCCCCGCACAGCCCCCCCGCAGCCCCGTGACACCCTTCTTGCCCAGGCTGCACTGACCCAAGTGTCCCCCCCAGCTGGTGTCTGGGCACAGAGGAGACCCCGGGGCCATGCCCTACCTGCAGGTTGTTCAGTGGGTCCATCTTCATGACAGAGCCGACTGTGTTCAGGGGCAGGGAGATCTCCACCGACTGGTTGGGGGCGAGAGGCGCGTGGACCTGCAGCGGAGCTGCCGGGGCTAGGCCAAAGCTGCGAGGACACCAGGGAGAGCCGGAATCAGGATGGTCAGCGGAGAATCAGGTAACCACAGGGAGAGAGAGCCTGACCCCACCCTGCCCGGAGGAACAGCCTCCTCAGCCAACTTCTTAGAGGCTCTGGTTTGATCATCACCGCCACAGCCATCAGCAAGAGAAGGATCATCACGAGAGGCTCCTCCCGGGCGCACACCCGCTCACCGCCCCTTCCTGCCGGCCCTCTTCCCCCGCTCGGGCCCCAAGGCGGCCCACCCTAAACCTCACGCTCGTCCCCGACAGCCTCACTTAAAACAGCAGAGGACTCTGCCGGGTGCTGCCAGGCTTTGCCACGGCCGCCCTGCAGAGCCGAAGCCCTGCGAGCAGCTCGGCCCGTCGCAGAGCGGAGCGGGGACGGCGCCGGCAGCCGCGACGCACCGGGGACCCTACCTGTTGCGGTTGAACTGGATGGCAAAGTCAGACATGACCTGCAGGGCCTTGTTTGTTAGCACGAGGTCCATGGAGATGGAGCCCACCTGGCGGCTGAATGTGCCAGAGATCTCCAGCCCCTTGGCCTTCATGGCAGGGAGCCAGACCTGCATTAAGGACACAAGAAATCCACGTGGCTTTACCCAATCTGAAACACGAGCTGCAGAGGAGCTGAACTGAGCAACTGGTTCACAGGGTTCCCGCACTCAAGGACATGGAAATCCCACAATGTTCCACTGCTCCAGACACCCTGGGATGTCAGAGCAAGCGCCCCCAGGATGCAGACTCCTGTGGGCAAAGCAGACAGGACCAGGTAGATGGCAGCACATCTATTACTTCCATCCCTCCCAAGAGCTCAGCCCAGGCACGTGCAAGGCCCTGGAGGCAGAGCAGGTGAGCGCGGCGGGAGGGACCTGCCTTCCAGTCCCTGCTGCAGTGTCCCCTCTGCTGCTGACCCTCTCCCAGCACGTGGGTGCAATGGGCTGGTTCCCACCAGGCGCATGGGGCCCTGGGGCTCTCTACCCTCCTCGGTGCCCCAGCTCCAGCCTTGGCCAGCAGCTTAGCTTCGGCTCGGCCTCCTGTCCCACTCACCGTTTTGGGTGCCACGTAGGACCCTGACAGGGCACCCACTCCTCCGGTGAGGTCAAAGAGGTCTCCGAGGCCGCCGCCGATGGGTGCCCCCAGGTTGGCGGGTGCTGCGGTGCTGGGCGCCGGCGCGAAGCTGCCTCCGCTGCCCATCTGTGGGAGACAAGGGAGCAAGTTAAGGGGGTCCCATGGGGCAGAGGCAAGCGAGGAGGAGGAGGAGGAAGAGCACACTCACAGCAGGGCTGCCTCCCACATCGCTCCTCAGCTGTGAGAGACAGAAAGGGAGAGGCGGTGAGCGCGGACCGGGCAGCACCCGGCGCGTCGTGGGGAGGGAGCCGCACGAAGCCCCCCTGTGC